TGTAAATTGTACATTTAAACAATGACATAGTTTTTCCATTTCACTTGGCAAATTTTCTTCCCACAGCCCATCCCTTCATCCGTCAGGTTCAAACGGCAGCGGGTCTGTTGGGGACGCAGCCCCTCGCCCCTCACGACAAAACCAGCTCCAGCCCCGGGGGGTTCTGCCCATGAACTCCCCAGCCCGAGCTGCTTTTCCCGGAGCTGAGGTGGGCATTTTCCCCCCCTCTTCTTAAATAACGAGGGTGGTCCCAGCATACTCTATATCGAGACAGCTTTTCATCAGTTGCTCATCAGCATGCTAATTGCTGTATGACTAATTATGCCCTGAATTCCAGTTGATTTTCTTAATGAGACAGCTGGGTTAATTATGTAATCGTATGATTACATTAGCCTAGAGTGCCCTGGCGAAAAGGAAGGCAGGCAGGAGCGTGATGTCATTGCGCGGGCTGGGCTCACAAGGGGGTACATTCATTTCTGCCTAATGACAGGGGAGGGCAACGGTACCCACAGTGCTCCTTGTGTAAACACTGAGATTGAATTATTGAGATCTGTGTCTTTTTCCAACTCTCAGAATGAGGGGGTTATAAACAAAACTAGCTTTTGGAAATTCAGCTGGTCATCGATGGTCCTGGTTTATCTCCTGGGTTGAGGTTGGGGTTGGTTGTGGGTGGTGAGGTGCTGCCTCTAGCTCGTTGTGTAATGCGCCACTTTGGCAAGCTTCATTTTTGCAATTCTTTTAAAATTGTTCGTAAAATATGTAGTTTAGATACATACGCAGCAGCAGAAAAAAAATAAATTGATTCTCTTGTGCTGCTGTTCAAAAAAGTTCTGTCATCAGGGCAGGTATGTGGTGGGAGAACAGCCTGAGAAGTGTTACTGTGGCAGCATTGCACCAGCTTGTTTGATGTGAAGTATTAACTGCTGTAAAAATAATGTTACATTTGTAACATTAATTTTTTCCACATCTCTGTTCATTGAGGCATGTCCATCCACCTCCTTTTTGAGGGCAGACGCTCATCTGCAAGGGGACTGGCATGGTGTGTCACAGTGCTGAGCGCAGGGACATGCTCGGCGAGCTGCTTGTGAAACGGTGCCAAAAGGACAATGCATTGAGCAGTAAAGGCAGGAAAAGGCTTTGCAGATACTGGTTTTAAAATATGGCACTTATTATTTCTGCTATGGTAGCGTGGAGGAAGCCTTGTCGAGGACTGGATCCAGATGTGCTGGGCTGCGTACAAACACGTGAGGCGTAGGGCTTCTTTGTGGGGATAGTATGCAACAAGTGGATTGGGAAAGAAGAACAGAATAGGAAGTGATAGAAAAAAATACACTAAATTTAGTATAAAAATAGACATTTCAAGTTATTCTTGGGCAACAGTGGTCTTGCTAAACACTTTTTAAAGTTCTGGGTGAGCAGATTCCTTTTACCAAGTTTTTCATTTCTTATTTATTTTGTGCCTAGCAGGGATTCTGAACTTTTGCAAGCTAGAGAGAATTCAAACCAAGAGAATAATTTGTGATGAGTTTTCCGCATTTCAGTTTTAAGTGAGATGATTTTTCTTTTACAGATTACAGAAAAGGCATTTACTTCTTTTCCTCTCTCCATAAGCTAATCTAATACCACTTTTTTTTTTTTTTTTAATGTGTATGCCTGTTGTTTGTGTAATGAATCGAAAGTTTTGGTCCATTGCTTGTTTAAAAATTCAGTGACCTCCTGTTAAATGACATAAAACACACTTTGTAAGTCTGGTTAATATAAAAAGGTATGCTTTTTCATGCATGCATATGTTGGGAGAAGGAGAGTATTTTTATTTATTTTTAAATCCACTCCATTCAGGTAAGAAAAAAGTCAGTTGTTCTGGCTGTAAGGTTTATACTTGTTTCAGATTAATTGGTGTTTATAAATACTTTGGATATCATAGGTTTTTTGAGATTAAAGAGCATACTGGGGCTTGCCATGAGAAATTAAGTATTAGTCTCTCTGCCCAAATTGTCTTTGTCATTTTATTGTCATGCAATGATTAGTTTTCTTTAATGCAGTTAGGCCTAGGAGGTGCTTCAGCCATGGGTTGGGGTTTTTTTTACATGTCTTTAAGCAGTATTTAGTGGCTGCAGGCCATTAGTCCTTCAAATAGGCTCTAGCAAAGTTTGAAGTGTAATGCACATAGACTGGTTTTACATTTTGTTTGTTCTGCCACTGTTTTGCTACTTGAACATTAACCTTTAATAGAGCTAAATTAAATATACATGTCCTGATGAATAATTATGAGATTGCAAGCATTTTCATTTTGTACATAAAGCTTCTCAGGGACTGCAAATTTGACTAAAGGTTTAGTCATTATTCACTTTATAATGCCTATGTTATTTTTGTCTTTTAATTCTTTACTGATTTAAATTTTAAAAGCCCTGTATCTTTGGAGCAAAATACCTCTTGTGGGTGTCCTGTTTTTTTCCAATGGACATGTTAAAACAAGGGTGAAATAGTGCACCCACGATTTTGTAAAGTTCCATTTCTTTTATTGTGGTGTTTTAGTGCTGTTTTATAGAAATACCATAGCTGAAGCTTAAGATCCCTGCCTGATACGTTTTGTGGTTCCTGTAACTATTTAAGACAGGGATAGATTGAGACAATCCAGCCTTTCTTTATGTTCAGCAGATGAATGTCCTGGGCTAGCTCTGTCAGAGAAATGCTGAGCTGCAGAAGTGTGACAAAACGGTCGTTCCAGATAAAGGTCGACAGACCTACATGGGAGAAGGGTGATGTTGTCACAGCCCGTACCTTAATTGGACTGTACATAAATATTGCAGGGCCTTTAACTCGTGCTACTGCTGTGACTTAAACTTTATATTTAATTCCTTACCTGTACCCCTGTCTCTGCCACAATAACATTTTAAGTTTGATTTATTATAAATATTTTAATACAGATAATAATAACGAAAAGTATTTGGCCTTAAAAGCATAAATGAAAAAGCTATGTAGTCATAAACTATGTATGCACAGAGAACAGATGACAGGCAACCTAGATTTTGTATTATGAACAGGGTAATGCTGTTGAAGAACCAAAGTAACAAAATGCAGCAGGCTGCTACTTATAACGTCTCTGAGCTCAACATAACCCAGTACTATTCTTTTATAAACTATGAAACAACGCTGGCATATTGAAAAAACACACAGGCTCATGCTTAATGTGTTAACAGAGGTACAATAGACTTACTATGTGTTTCCAGAGACTGAGGGTGGTCTGAAAAATTAATGACTGTGGTGGTTGAAAATTAAGTGAACTCCCTAATATATACTGTTGTTGATCCACTGAATTTGGTGTTTAGCATTCCTCAACAGGAGACTAAATCTTTGCAGCCATTTCACAAGAGATGCTGGCGCCCATAACAGAAATGTATTCAATAATCTTTTATAAGTCCATTGGACTCCAGCGTTTTCTTACTCTGACTGGGAAGAAGTCCCAGAATAAATCACGTGTGCGCACGTCAGGTGCGTGCTAAGGACTCCCTTTAGCAGAAGGGGACAAACATCAGAGAATTAATACTGAGAGAACATTGAAAATAATTTCTAATTTCTATTCAATTAGTAGTATAAGAAAAAAGAGGGAACAAGAGTCATAAAACCCAAGGTTCATGAAATTAATTACAGCCACACAATATTTCTGATTACTATTGATCTGTCAGTTAGAAAAGTTATAGCTCAGGTCTCCATGATCAAATAACCTTTTTGATCAGCTGTGCAGGAGGGCACAATTTGCTTTGGAAATTCACTCTCACAGAAGCAGAGGTATGTGAGGGACACTAGCTGCCAGTGAGCCATGCAGTTCAATTGCTTTTTACCCCAAAATTCTCATTTTGCAAACAAAAGTTGAGACTTAAGACTCTCACGTACTGTGAGACGTGCTGTGCTATCATGGCTGTCTGCATGCAGGGACAGTGCCCTGTGGATTAACACCAGGATGAAGAAGGCATGCACCAGTTTAAAGGGTAACAGATACAATGAACTGTCTTTGCTTTTTGAAGTTTGGAGGATATGAGATGAGGAATATACAGGAATAATAACTCAAAGTAGAGCCTTACTAGCACTTAAAATGGGTGTTAATAGAGAAAAAAGGACACTTGTGCTCTGAACTACTTGAGTCACCCAAGCGTTCTTTTTATCTTACATTTTATTTTACTGTCTCTTTTTCAGATCCAGTTCCAGCCTTGGATTTGGGACAGCAGCTTCAGCTGAAGGTTCAACGTATGCACGATATTGAAACAGAGAATCAGAAACTTAGGGAAACTCTAGAGGAATACAATAAAGAATTTGCCGAGGTGAAAAATCAGGGTAGGTTGCAAACATATTTTTTTACTAGCTTTTAATGCATACTGAAATTTCAAGGCAGGGATTAAATCCAGTTTTATTTCTTACTGGTAGGGTTGACAGTAGCATTGAAATTCAGTAAAGAAAGTATGATAGTGTATTATATCTATACAGGTAAATACAGAAGTGACTATGACTTTGGGTAGACTTGGATTTCTTTAGAAGTTTCACCTTCTATAGCACGAAGTCAGAGAATGGAGCTGTTATTCTGCATATTCAGTTGTAGCCTTCAGTGCTACCTGAAAATTACACACCTGACTGATGTTATATGTAGACATTTTATGAGAGACAGTGCTACTGCTGACATCAGACTGAATGTGGGTGCTTGTAGTACATACATTTTACACACACAAAAATCTAGTATTTTATACACATGTACAAATCTGTACCAAATGAAACTTTTTCTGTACTCTGTTTTTCTTTGCTTAAATCAGAAATGTGTTACTGGAGTACATTCAGCATACATACTTTATATTTACTCTAGAGACTATCTACAGAACAGTGTAAATACAAGCTAATACTGTTTAATTATTTATGTAAGTTTTAATGAGACTGGAGTACATGAAAATACATTAAAATCTCAATTAAATTTAAACCCTGTTGTCTTTAAGACTGTTCAGATTTTCTTGTGAATTCAAAAGAAAGTTCCTGCAGCAGGAAATAAAATTGGATCAGTTGTATACCTACTTGCCTGTACATGGGACTTTTCATTTCCATCTTAAATGCTCAGTTCTGGGTGATGGGAAGGTCTAGGCATTTGGAAAGCTGGAGATGATTTTTTTTTTTTTTTTTAATATTATGGAACTGTTGCACTCAAGTGGGTAACATTGGAAAGCTATACTAGCAACTAAGTTGGTTCTGTTACATCTCATTTTCAGCAGAAGGAGCATAAATGCAGGTAGATATTTTAACATAGAGGGTGTGACCTTTGGAGAGGACAGGTATCAGCATGCAAAGATTCAGGCTGGGACTGCAGAAGTTGTCGTGCAGGAACCACAGTGCTCTAAGCCTGACAGTACTTTTCCTGGAAATGTACAATAATTGCAGTTCACTGTGCAGAGTTTCCCTGAGGCTGTGCATCCTGTACATCCAGGCATGACATCAGGGTTTGTCCCAGAAAGTGGAAAAAATCTTGGACTTCCGGAGTTTTTTGCTGCAACCACTCATAAATTGGCATTTTCTATTTTCCCTGGTGTCCACTAACTTCCTTTCTGTTTTGCCACTGTGGTCTTTGCGTTGTTTTTAACTCCAGTGCAATAGTTTTACACTCTGTTTCAAACAGGGATTAATAAGATATCCAGGGAAAAGCTTGTTGTTAGCTAAGGGTGCTTTGATCAGTTAATCTCTTTGTTTGGAGGGCTGTGTATGAGCTATACAGTGCCTGTAAGAACTTCTTCCAAAACTGCTATAAATGGCAGTGGCTAACAAGCTTTAGCTGACCTGAACAGTAAAGAAGGCACTTAGTTCTCCAAGCAACACAGAGGATTAAACTGTGCTTGTCCAACACATCTACTGTTAGGTGCCTAAAGGCAAAAACAGATTTTGTTAAAAAAGTAATATTTTTTCCCATATTTGTGCACTTCTTGCATTCCTTTTTTTAGTTCTGTTTCCTTTTAAAATGAAACATTCAGACTTTGTCAAGCTGCAACTATATGCATTTCCACGAGATTGTTTCGCTCTCTGCTTCTCCATATACCTGAATACTTTTGCAGATTTATGTTTGAAAATACTTGGAGCAGAGGTGTCTCCAGTAGAGAGTACATCCTTCGTACACATGAATGAGCATCCTTTTGTCTCTGTGAAGGAGCATCCTTTGCTTAGTCAGGAAAAGAGCAGAATTTGTATTACTTCCCAGATCTCAGAGAAGATTTCCCTTTGCTTTTTTTTAAGACATGTTGTTTCAATGGCCTATTCCTCCATCATGAGCCTCATCTGATTTTTGCATGGCTAGCAAAATCCTGCTCCTTCATTCAAAAGTAACTTGTTTGCTGGCAATCATTTTTACCTCTCTCCCCCAGCTTTTTTGTGGTCACAGTGGCCCAAGCTGCCTTCTGTGTGATTCCCAGACAGCAGACCTTGTCACCAGCAATCTACTGACTGGCTTTACAGTTCTCCAGTCAAGTCTGAAGTCTAGACTTTAAAAGAATTACGCATGGTTTTGTGTGATATTATTGAGGTTTTTTCCTCCAAGTTCATAGGCTTTACTTTTCACAGAGTTTGTTTTTCTAGGATGTTTCTGCAGAATGAGAAGCTTTTTATGTCCAAAGGGATTTTTTTTCCTAAAATGCTCTTAATGGCATCTGTTAATAAGCTGATGTCTTTAAACCACCACATCTCTGTCTGAGTACGTTGAAATGTATTGCTAGCTGCGAGTCTTCTGGCAGTCTAACGCTTTTTCCAAATTCCATTATTGTTACAAATCATACTCTGGTGAATGTCCTGCTTTTCCTTTTAGGAGCCCTATAAGGATTCAGTCCTTTCCTGTGGGTGGGATCAAAGGGCTTTCACGTAGGAATGGATCAGGGCACATAACAAGATGCTGTCCATCAAGGGCTGTGCCATAACTCTGCAGGTTTATACATCTTCTCTCATCCATTACTGGGCACAGTAAATGCAAGATAACTTCTTTATCTGAGAAAAGGGTTTCTGTAAATTCCCTGGAAGGCTACAAGTGCACTCAGAAAGTTATAATAGTTAATGCTTGTGTGTAAAACCCAGTGTCAATGAGAAGGCAGTTAGAGCAACTAGAATATGAAGGGCTCCGGAGTGTCTGTTGAATCTGATCTACTGTTAAGAGAGCAGTTAAATCTTAACTGCCATATTTTTCATCAGTTGTGAAGCAGAACGTAGCTGTATCCCAGATATGTGTTCAATTAGTGTTAGATTGCATCTGTCCATGAGTCCATAGTAAAACTGCCGCTTTTTACGTGAGCACAGTTATGTGAATTAAGTGTCCTATGTGTAAATGCATACTTAAACCTACACTGGGACTTTATTACAACCTCCACTCAACAGCGAGGTAATTTAAGACTAGTCAATAAGGTGATACTATATTTTACAATTGATTTTTTTTTTTTCTTCCTTTTTTCTTTTTTTTAAAGTTAGAGGAACCTTCTTCGCTCTGCTTTCCAGCAAACACCATTGATCCTTCTCAACCTGAACACTTAAAGTTCAATTTAACATTTAGGGAGTAAAAGGTCTCCAAAGGGACTCATATCCATTGATTTTGTGTCAGAGTTGAAGAGCTAAAGTTTAAAACACACTGAGCCTACAGGGTAAAGAAAGCCTTGTGTTGTGGAACCACGTGGAGCTGTGTACACTCAATTCTTCCCCTATTGTTTTTCTGTAGAGGTTACAATAAAAGCACTTAAAGAGAAAATCCGAGAATATGAACAGACCCTGAAGAACCAAGCGGAGAATATAGCCCTTGAAAAAGAACAAAAGTTACAAAATGATTTTGCGGAGAAGGAGAGGTGAGTGTGTGTGTGTGTGTGTGTGTGTGTGTGCATCTCTCTGTAGGTATTGTAGAGGAGGAGAGATGTATTTTTCAGTTTAATCTTCCCAGCCAGGACTCTCTCTTCAGTGTACTGAGCGATTCTGGTGATTTATGTGTTTGACATGGAATCATTTGATACTCAACTTTGCACAGAAAAACAATCGTGAAAGTGTGGAAGGAAAACAAGGACAGATTGTTTCTTTGCAGTAGGTTTTTTTTTGCTGGAGGAGGGGGGTGTCATGTTCAGAAGGGTGCAAACCTGCTTTTATTCTTCACCAGCAGTATTGTCCTTTGTGACACTAAGCTTTCTCCATTAGCCCACAGTGTAATTCAGTCTCCCTGAGCTGTTTAAGATAAAAAAACTGTACCCAAGAGCTTGGGTAAAAGATGCATCATCCCTGCTCCTGTGGTAATGTCTAAGAGGGGGATTGTGTTTCTGAATTGTCCTGAAAAGGTTTGCTTATTCCTACATGTAAAAATTAAGAAGTATTTTAATTATTTATGATTAAGTATTGGAAATATCTTGAGTACATTGCTAATCTTTTTCAAATGAGCAGGGAGTGTTTGAGTCTTGTAGGTTAGTGGGCAGGACAAGACCAAGGGTTTTAAGAGGGAGTTCTTTTAGGCTGTGTTCTCTACTTGAGAATTTATTTCTCCCATGGAGCAATAATATTGAAGCTATGATATCTTCAGCTTAGTGTGGAAGCCCATCAGTGTACATGAGCTTTTTAGTTGGTGTGTTGGTTGTTTAAATTCATGTCTGAGTGGGAAGAATCTGCCAGTGAATGCAAAGCTTTTTTTTAAATTCATCAATAGCTGTGGTTACTTTTTGATAAGTAGCATGTAAGCAGTGGCTTTAACAAGTGCCATTTAGATGTGCTTAAAAATAAAATGATAAGTGTAATGCAAATAACAAAAAAGTATCTATAAGAGAGGTTTTGAGTTCTCAGAGTATATCACTTGGTATGAAGGGAGCTGAAGCATGTTTCTCACTATAAATTGTTATTAACCTGGTCAGCAGTGTTGGAGAATAAATTTATGTATCCTATGGAGTACAAGTAGGATGCTGGTAGTTTCATAAGCCATTTCACAATTCTGAAATCTGCAGAATATCTTAAAAGCAATGTCATAAAAAGCAGCGACTCCTGGGAGACGTTGGAGCAACTCCCTTTCAAAGATGAGTTTTATAACTCCTGTAGCCTTTAGCAAAGAGTAATGACTGTATGGCCCCATGATGCTAAAAAACTGACACAAACAAGAAAATATTGCCTGTGGACATAAGAAATGTGAGCATATTAAAGGTTTGCTCATGTTCTATAGAAAATATCAATGTGAGATTTGTTTTGAAATACGTGTGGTTTTTTTAAAGAGTAGCTAATAATATTACTGGGTTTGGCATCCATTTCAGCTATGATGAAACAGCTGCCGCATCTATTCAGTATATCAGTTATGGAAACCAATTTCTTCATTATGACAGTAAAATGGAAATGTATCATTCTTCTTGTACTAACTTTGTACAACAGAGGGTGCTTGGTGACAATTTTCTTAATGTGTATGACATTTCCAAAACAAATTATGCTCAAGAAAACCTTCCACTAAAGTTGTCATTTATATAGCAGTCAACTCTTGTATAATGTTCACAGCTTATGTTATGAGGTGGCTACACTGTTAAAATTTTAATAAGTGGAACTGCAAAGTATGAACAGTATTGCAATGTGACATGATTTATGGGTCCCATTGAAGCACCTTGTAGTCTGTGTGGTGTCATCAGTTGTCTGATTACAGTTGAGACATTTAATCACTCTATCTTCGAAATTTGCAAAATACAAATAAGTTGTTTAACATGATTACAAGCTCTGTTCTCACCTTTTCTCTTCCCTTTATAGAAAATTGCAGGAGACGCAGATGTCAACAGCCTCGAAGCTGGAAGAAGCCGAACACAAAGTTCAAGCTTTGCAAACAGGTTTGGCATCGCTATTCTGACCTATACCAATGATCAGGCTGGAGGTGAGAGGATAGAGATCATTGAATGTGTCAGGACTGTGTGTGAACCAGCTCTTGCAAGAGCAGAGATCCAACAGAGCTTGAACGTGCTCTGTGAATCAGGGCTTCTTTTGGGCTTCACACCTTAAGTGAATGCTTGTGTTGCAGCCAGTCTGTTGGTAAATACAGTGGACAAGGCCAAGCATGAAGCATGTAGAGCGTTAGAGCATTGCTGCAATTAAAGCAGGCCATGGAACTTTTAATCCATGTTGTGTTTTGCTCTGGTTTCACACATTTCTGAACTATGATAAATATATATATAGCGGTCTGGATTCAGTATGAACCCAGTTTCTACCAGTGTGTCTTGCCTGTTGCTGTGACTTGCTTGCTATATTTTCCTCTTAATCTCTGGACACATAAAGATTCCAGGTCTGGACACATTTGGTTTTGTTTACTATGAGAACACAGAAATGTTATTCCCTGAATTACTGCAATAAATATTTCAAATGAATAAGCAGTTTAGCCAGCTTAATAAGAAATTAATAATGTCTAGCTTGGTTAAGCAGAAACAGGGAATTTTTGCAGTGTAAAAGAAATACCATAAGAAATTGTGAAAAATAAAAAGCTGTATTTTTTTTAAGTCATAATGGTTTGCCTAGGAAGAAAGATAAAGCAAAGAATTTTTCATCAGGAGGTGTGTAGCCTTATTTATGGCCAAATAAAAAAAAATGGAGTAGTCTTTTTGTTTTTCACTGCCGTTACACTACTGTAATGCTTCATGTTTATGCCTTTTAGCCTTGGAAAAAACCAGAACAGAACTATTTGATCTGAAAACAAAATACGATGAAGAAACTACTGCAAAGTAAGATTTCACTGTTTTCTTTCTATGTCTTCCTTCAGGGTATCACTGCTTTTTTGTTTTGCATCTGTCTGTTGGAGACAGACAAGATGGAAGATGTTCAGGAGTCCGGATTTGTTGGAAAACATGGTCATAATTTGGCCTCCTGTAGAGAGATTATTAATTTTCATATTTTCTTCCACCTAACAAGACACTTTTCCTGGTACACATGCTGCTGCATTCTTGGTTTAATTCTCAGGTGCTGCATCTACTACGTATCTCTATATTTTATTTAGAAATAACATATTTGCTGTGATGTTCCAGTCTTGGTGAAAATAAAATTTAGTTTAGTAAAGGATTTCTATTTTACTGTTAGGCACCCTGGTTCTTTCTGCTTTTGGGGTACCAGTCATCACTCTGTTAAATTCATCCCAAATTACAATGAGTAGCTTTTTTCTTCTTTTCAAGTAGAACATGAAGGTAGTTTTAAAAATATATATCCTTGTCTTCTTAATGGCTACTGTTTTCAATTATCCCCTGGTTTTATTAACAGTCAGTGCAGGAAACAACAAAAGAGAGACAGACTTCTTCTGTTTTTCTTTGAACCGTTCATATTTAAGGAAAGTTAGTAATGAGAAGGAATTCTCATGATCAGCAGTATTAAGCCCAAAGGGTCATTTCTGTGTCTGGAAATGGGATGGGAAAGAAGCAGCCATTTCAGATGGGTGTCCCTGGCCTGCTGTAAAGGCAGGGGTTGGAAGATGCACATCACATCCCTATGCCCACTACCTGCGTCCCACAGAGCCCGAGCTTCACCTCCTCTTCTTAGTAGGCAGATGATGGGGTGAACAGAGAGGAAAATTCTTGCTCCTGCCTTTACCACCCATTTGGTACAGGAGAAATGGTAAGGGGAGGCTGTTGGCAGGCTCCATGTTGGGGCAAGAGAAACTATAACCCCTAGGCTTGATGGGAGGAACGCCATGGTCTTGGTTCTGTCTGTAGGTAAGTGCTTTCTGGTGTGGCTCATGGCAGTCTGGATAATACAGGTTTTTCAAAGCCAGTCAAATTGGCAACGAGTTTTAATTTCTTAGTGTGTTGTTCTGCAGTCGCTGAGAATCCCATTCCCCACTGAGTACCTGGGGAACTTAGAGCTTACAAAATTCAGTCCATAGGAGTTAAGAATCAGTGCTTGGAGTTGAAACACCTTTTACATCATTCAAGATAATATTTTAGGTAAATTTTGGTTTTGCTCTGTAAGTCCAGTTTCCTTTCAGTTCCATGTAAGATGATCAAAAGTTCCCTCATTTATTTCATTCTTCTCTGAGATGCGTACTAATGATGTTTCTGATGGAGCCTTAAATTACTGCAGATTGCCTTTATTTTTATTTTTTTTTCTGCACATAACTGATGCTGGCAGCTCTGTTGCTGTTATTTTGTCTTGCAGTCGCTTCTGTGGGAACAGTCAGAGATCAGGGCTCAGCGGTTGTAGGCACTGAATGTAATAACCCCTCACCCTTTTTAATGTTTTCATTTGCACAGTGTTTGCTTAAATTTTTTAATACCATTTCCCTAATGTATCTTATACTGAGAAAAAGATGTACTATAAACTATTTGTTCATGTTTCTAATCTGTTTCATTCTTTCAGAGATATTCAAGAGGAAATATTTTCATATGATCTTGAATATGATTCTTACCTAATATATAGAGAATTACATAAAATTAGTAGCATCTGCAGTAACAAGAAGTTTATTGTGTTCTGTAGCAGAATGATTAGGAAGGCTGGGTCTGGAATATAGTGATCATAGAGCTGAATCCTGAAGCAGACATTAAGCATGTGCTTTATCTCCCAAACTAATGTACTGTGAAAACAAACTTATAGGACCTAATAACAGCAAAAAAATCTTTTATCATTGTTTTGGATATTTATGGCAGGAATAGTTCTTGCATAACAACAGCCATCCGTGGCGTTTGTAGCCCAAATTTTGCAATATGGAAATCTAGAAAAACATGAAAAGGGAACTGAATGCAGACAGTGAAATTGAGTCATCTATTTTAATTGTAAAAGCTGGGAGAAATGTTGAAAAAACACCAATAAAAATGGTGAAAGACAGTTTGATTCTTTTCTAAAAAGAAACCCTCTTTTGATCTAAGTCTGAAAAGCTACTTGTATTGCCAATTTTAATTTTATGTTTTAAAAACATGTGATTTTTATCTTAGGCCAGAATTGTTAGTTCTAGAGACACTTATTTGATGCAGATGAATTGGATTGCCTTCAGAAAAAAAAAAAAAGATAATTGTCAATTTTTTAAAGCTAACAATACTTTTAAGATTTTTCAGTTTTCGAATAAAGCTGTCTTTCAACTGTTTGTAACTTTGAAAATCTTTCAAACAAAAAAAAAGAAGCAAAAGAAATATACAGTAACAAGTCTTCAGTATCAGCATTAAGGAGTCTGGATTTTGTCCTAGTGACCGACTGTCTGTTGTGATCTTAAAGTCGGGAATTTTCAAAATGCCCCTATTCAGAGCACTGTGTGCGAAGTGAGGTGTGGAGGTACCACCCGAACTTGATGCTAACAAGGCATCTTCAAATGAGATCAGTTGCTGAAATTAAAATCTTTAGTTAAATTAGTTATTTGTCATCTCAATCTATAATATTCCCCCGTTCCCTTTGCCAGCGAGCGGGTAACGTGTGTGCAGCGGGGGCAGAGGTGCTGCCTGTGCCCCTTCCCCCAGCCCCTGCATCCCGCAGATGCCCCGCACGCGGAGCACTGAAGGTGTTAATGACAAAAAGAAGTTTATTATGTGCAGTCATTGCAGTCTGTCAGCTGGAATATCAGAAGCTGAATTTGACAAGATGGCAGCAGCAAAGTTTTCCATGTGTAGGCTTGAAGTAAAATGTAATTAGCCTTTATGTGCAGAACAAGGATCCATTGATGAATACAGCTGGTCTTTGTTTTCTTCTGTCATTGAGTGTGGGAGGTAAAAGTGTTCTTCTTCATGTTTATTAATACAAGATTCCTTAGACAAATGGCAAGCACAGTTTAATATTTGTTGGAACACAGAGGGGCTTGCCAAAACAGTTGTTGTGTAAGAGGATTTCAAGGTTTTCAGATTATAATCATCTCTGGGTTAAATAAATGAATGATTACTCTGCCTTTTTCAATTAAAGAGGCACATCCTCTCTCGAAGCCTGATACTGATTTTGTGTCCCACACGTTTCTATTGGCAAACCTGGATTTAACCAACACTTAAGGAGTTTCTGTCGGAGCTGGAACTGAAAAGCAAACTCAGACTTGAGTTTCAGGAAAATTAAAGAATGTTAGGTTTTTATTTTTTCCTGGTGCAACAGACTTTATTTTTAATTCCTCCTCTGTAGAAAAAGAAACATTCTTGTATGCATTTCCTTCGTTTTCCGGGGACAAACTGTTCTCCTTGCTAACATTGCTCTTTCACTTCTGGTTTGCTGCAGAGTCCGAGCAAGTGTTTGGGATTCCCAGCTGAGCTGTTAATACTCCCAGCCAGAAGGGTTGAATTCCAGTTTTAGATCAATTCCAGAGCCGCCTCTTTGCTCCGACCCCTCCTCTTCCCCAACCTAAATGAATTCTAATTGGAAAAGGATCTTTGGTTGTAGCACATACAGTAGGCTTGTTACATTACTGTTAACATGTGGGTTGAGGCTCCCTGCCTTTGATGAAAGAAAATATCGAATTTCACTGAACTGCTACATTTTCACCAGTAAATGTTAAGTAGTCTTGTGAGGATTTTAGGTGCTGCCCACCCCTCTGCAATAAAAGCCCTTCATAAACAACACAAAACAAAAAATGTTTAGGTTCAGGTTGTCAGTCAAAGCAGCTCTGCTACCAGTTTCGTTACCTATGTGATTTTCTGAAAGATGCAGACTTCTTTTTCTTCTAAAAGTAGTGTATGTATTGAAAATGCAATGGAGGAGGAGGTGTTTGCATTTACTAGAGCAGTCATCCTAAAACAACTACTTTCAATAACTTGTAGAAAAATATTTTGCCTTCCAGTATATGAAGCAGAGAATTATCCTTTCATAGATTAGACTGCTTTTTAAAAATGTATTTCTTTTTTGGCAGCACAGCTAAGGATGACACAGGATGGCATGTTGGTGTAGCATCATTAAGACTGTACACTGGTGCAATATTGCAAATTACCCCACCGCATAGATCCAGATGTCTTATTTTAATCCTGGACTGCATTTTAATGAAAACTAAATCTGGAAATGAACAGAGCACGGTTGATGAAAGCGCGGTCTGTGAGCTGGCAGTCCCTGCTTTACAATAAAGGAGAGTCTTTCATTGTTTTAGAGCCTGAATTGGAAAACCTGACTCACAGGATTTCAATATCAGTATTTAATACTCCTTTCCTTGCAGTGGTCATAGACGTCAGTCAGCGAGGCTGGGTGTGGTGGTTTGGG